AGGCCACAATCAACAACCTGATCAACTCGATGCGAAGGAGATGTGTTGCACTGCGTGAGGCAAATGGTGGTCACACCAGATACTGACTGGTTTTCGGACCCCCCCCCCAGACCCCCCCAATAAAGCAAAACTGCACGTTTCAGAGTGGCCTTTTATTATGGCCAGCCTAAGGCACACCTGTGCAATAATCATGCTGTCTAATCAGCATCTTGATATGCCACACCTGTGAGGTGGGATGGATTATCTCGGCAAAGGAGAAGTGCTCACTATCACAGATTTTTTCAGATTTGTGAACAATATTTGAGAGAAATGGTTATTTTGTGTATATAGAAAATGTTTTAGATCTTTGAGTTCATCTCATGAAAAATGGGAGCAAAAACAAAAGTGTTGCATTTATATTTTTGTTCAGTGTAGTATTGGCAGTCACAGGCTGCTGTAAACTAAACACCACTCTCTCCGACAGAACACCTCACTGAGTGATTTAACTATGTCTTACTTTCAGGTTTGACTTTTCAGCCGCAGACCCCATGTCGCCTCTTTATGTGCGTCGCTAAGTTCCTCGTACTACTTGTCTACTTTAAAGCGGCACGGCATCGTTTACAATTTGCGAGCGATTTTTCAAGTTGACCGTCTTTCTTGAAAAATCCGAGGTGTTGCCAAACGTTTGATTTGTAGGTATTTTTCGGTGCGCTGTGTTTCTCTTTCTCTTCGACTTCCATGTGTGTTGATATCTGAGACTTTCGGCCTCCGTAGTGCGAAGCAAAGATCAAACATTGTCTCTGCTGAGTGCTGATAGGATGAGGATATTATATGAATGAATCGTTTTTTCACCGATGCAAAGACGCTACAATCGATGCATCGCGAGTTCAACCCAAACTGTAGCCGATGTGCACTCTTTCAACCGGTGCACTCGCATCTTCAACGTTTATGCCGGTGCACCGATGCGAATCGGTGAATCTTAACATCCCTAATGTGCATGTGTTTTAATCTTGTGTTTGTGTAGGTATTGCTGCATTACCAAACAGTGAGTGAGCCAGCCACCATTAGGAAACTGATAAGTATTCTACACAAAAGCAGCGGCGACGTCATCAAGAAGAAACCAAAGTGAGTGTGGATTTTATCAATATTATGCGAGGTGGACCCTGAAGGTGTTATTTTGGTATTAATTACCTCCTCGCTGCACTTTATCCCACTTATTACACGGTTAAATACTAAATAAACCAATGACTTGACTCACAACATTGATTCTAAATTATTTTATTGATTTCAAAATGATGGTATAGCTTCCGCTTAAAAAAATAATAGTCAGTTCCGCTGCGTACCAACGGCTAAGACTCCAAGTTGACCAATCAGAATCAAGTATTCAACTAAGCCGTGTTATATAAATGCATAGTACACAGTAGTTCTAATACTGTGTGCTGCAATAGTCACCTTGTACAACTTTCAAATGTCCCCAAGAAGGGCATCGTGTTCCCTTCTAAATATATACTTGATAAAACATAATCATTTGTAATAATTCTTAGAAATTGGACAAAATCCAGGTTATCCTCACTTCCTGTTTGCTGTGCAGGTGTTTGAGTAAAGGTATGAATGCCATCGTGGAGATCCAGACGCAGAGGCCGGTGGCATTAGAGCTGTACAAAGACTACAAGGAACTCGGCCGCTTCATGCTCAGATATGTCGGCTCCACCATAGCTGCAGGGGTCGTCACTGAGGTAAAATGGGAATGATCGAAGGACAAAAACAATATACAGATGTGTGCTGTTGTTTTTATTTACGAGCGTGATTTTTCTTTTTTCCACGGCAGATCAAAGAATGAGGAGCGTTTCCATGGACACAGAGCGGGTCTGAACTTGCTCTACAGGCTGCCTGCAGCCAGAGACAAAGTGCAATTCCTCCACAGATGTCCCTCAGGGACTCAGCGTCATTTTCATCCATCCACCGCTCCATCCAGCTGCTCCGACTGACTGCTCCAAACAACACCAAACTGCATGGATATGCGGCAAGATGATCCAGCCTCCTGCGACAAACAGGCGCATTACCCAGCCACCCCATAACTTCAGATTTATTTTCGTCTGACTTTGTTTTTTAGTAAAATCAGGCCAAATTAAGAATATAATCCGACTTTGAAAGACATTTTCACCAACAGGAGATTTCCACAGTTATTTATGTCACTGTACTTCCCTCTAAGCAACCTCTTCTTGACTGAAAAAGCATGAATCCTGTTGGAACAACTATTGAAACTAGAGCAGTCAACAAATCAGCTGTGGTGTAAGCAGAACATTTCTTTCTTCTGTAACAGATGTCCAGATTTCTCCTTCGTGTAAAGGTTAAGATGAGGATATACACCCCAGTTTTTTTGCATAATAAGTCCCTCCTGAGATTTTTTATTTAGACAGAGATGAACAAATGAAATTAAGTTATTAGATATTATTTTTACCATAGTATGTTGACATCTCATACAACATAGCCAATGGGACACAGTTCACTCTAACCAAGCGAGAATAGTTTGTGAGCAAAAAGGGGAAACTAAAATCTTCACCACTGGACAAAGACACATGTCTAATTTAAGTTAACAAAATACTTGAAATGCTTCCACAGTAAAGCACCAACATGCTTTTTGAAGTACTCATCTGTGTTTTGTTTTTTCTTTGAAAGACTTGGTTAAATGAAGAAGAGCAGCTGTGTTTCTGATTTCTCCATGTGTTGTTGAAGGTGTTGTGAAGGAGGACGATGCAAAATGAACATGACGTCAGTAATCTGTGGTTTGAGTTTTGATTTCAGTGTTAACTTTATATTCAATTGAAAAAAAAAAGTGCGAGGATTCTTGATAGTTTAAAATACATACGCTAAGTAAAGTAAGAAATGAAAATGTAGAGGTGATAGTTTCCTGTCGGGTTTGACAGTGACACGGCTGGGGTTGTTACCGCTGGAGTGGAAAGCACCAAAAAAAAAAGAATGCACATCGAAGGGAAAATAGGTCAGAGATTTAGAAAAATGCCCACAACGCTTTTCCAGTTTCCAGTGGTGGACTCTGAAGTGACAAGCATGTGTAACCGCGGCTTACAAAGTTCCACTTTACAGAAAAAGACTTGAAAGACAAGGACAATTAAAGTCAAAATGGTGTGAGAACTTTATGGATTTTATGGCAAAGAATCCTAGGTTCCCAGGCTCCTGACATATACTGTAGTCGGTATACTAAGACATCAAGAGTGCAATAAGAATATTGAAAGGGACATAGTGCACGTAAAGTTCAGGAATAAGTCAACTATGCTCATAAACCATAATGAGATTATAGGGTGGAAAGTTATTACACAACAGTCACAAAATGTGGGTCGAAGGTGTTAGGTTGTGCCTCTGATTTAAAGTGTATATAGTCCTTGTATGCATGCACAGGAAATAATGTGTGCATTGAAGATACACACTGAATGAACGGAAATATAGTGTAATTGTATACTTTTGGGATTTTTGTAATGTCTTTGAATTGCATAATTTGGAAGGTTTTGTGCGCAGACTGTCTTTTAGGTGATACTCGGGTATCTCTGTTAAATGTGATGCATACCGCTAAATAATTTTAATTAAATCTAATCTGGCTGATTATATACTATGACTCCCTGCAGCTGAAGTTGCTGGCTCAGTCACAAACACTGCAAAACTATATAACTTGGCCTCAAAAATACATGACTTATTTCAGTATCCAGAAACAAAAAGCAACAGCGCAAATCTAAGATGATTTAAGACATATTTGCTCTACACTGTAAGTTTATACTATATTGATGAAGTATAATGTCATTGCTGGGTCTCTTACAGTCTAACCTCATGAAGAGGATTTTCCTGTACAGTGTAGGTCCATAGGATGGCAATGTTCAGCACATTTCCTGTCATCTACAATAAGAAGTGTTCATGTGTTGTGAGATTAGCAACGTGTTCTGCTACAGAAATGCATAAGAAATGGCATCATGCAGTGAAATTGGTGTCAGTCACCTGGGTCCAACTTTGACACAGAGCGGTAAAAGCCTTTTGGTCTCCAGACCTTTGACCTGAGATAATGAATAACTTTCTCTGTAAATGGATTGGAGTATTGCTGTTGCCGCTTCGCCAGTCTCCTTTCTTTATTAGCCATTTCTAAAACTGACAGTAACTGTGTTGTCACGTATACGCAAAGCCAAAACAAGCTCTTTAAGTTTATTTCTGCATTGTCATGATAGATAATTTGAATTGTTCATGGCACTTTGTGAGATACAGGCCACACAACCTTGAGCTTTAGAAAAAGGGTTAATCTTTAACATTTATGTAGGAAACCGTCTTTAAACAGAAATACCTGAACTTGTGCCTGCTGCTGCTATCCTTTACCTGCAACAAAGCAACCTCACCTCGAGGTCCATTAGGTTGTGTTATGGAGCTTCTGATCTCATCGCATGTAGTCAGGCCAAGTTTGTACATGCCTTTTGAAAAAACTATTCTCACCCAAAATGACTAAAAAATACTTTGGAAAAGTGATACATCATCACACAACGTCACAGTATAGATGCAAGTAAATGTACCATTTCTGTTAATTAGAGAAAAAACATTTGTAAGTAACTATAATGACAAACTTTTTGAAATAATGACTAAAGAAGAGGCAAACATAAGAAGTAGTCCCTAAAGGAGGAGTACGTTTTGCTATTATTTTTCAAGTTATTTTGAGATACTTAGGCCTACTACTCATTATCTTGAATTACTAAGCCATTGTATTTTAAGAAAGTGCAGGTACTCACATTGGCATCTTCGAGCCTCTTTACATTTCAACCTTTGTAATAGGGCAGGCTATTATCTCAAACTGCACTAAAGGGTATAATAGCCTAGAGACAAAATAAAAGATATACAAATAGGTATTTAGACACCTGCTTTTCAAACGTTATTGATATATTATTTCACTTTTTTCCAAGACCTTTAAATGCTAACCAGTGCTAAAGGGAATCATTAGCCTAGTGCTGCTCACCATCTTGGGTTTTATAGAGAAACGTGACAGAGGCCGCTGTCGAGTGGGAGGGTCGGTCCAAAGTAACTTCATATCGTTGGCTTAATATGCTCCAGACCTGCAGCAGTCTGCTGTTATTCTCTCAATTTGTAGCAATAGTTTGATATCCTCGACGTGCAGCCATGCCGAACCCCTCTGAGCAGAGCTCTTGTCTGGTTCTGGAGAACTTCATCGGAGGGAAGTTCGTCCCGTGTCGGACTCACATCGACTCCTACGACCCGTCCGTCGGAGAGGTTTACTGCAGGGTGCCGGACAGCGGGGCGCCGGAGGTGGGTCAGCCTCATGCTATATGACTACATTTATAACTATAACCGTCTGCACTGTTTTTCCTACTTACTCTGGAGTAGCATTATTTTGTATTGAGAATGTAGTGCAAAGCCTACAACCCATAGGTCTTGATGCTTCTTGCTGCTGCAAATCACGCCTTTTAAAGATAACATGTTGAGATTTTTTGTTGAGATTTCACAAAAGTGTGGTGATTTCTGAGTTACCACAAATGTTAAACAAATAATGGCTTTGTTGGTGCATTTGACCTGTGAGAGTTGTTATCTAGTTGCTGTCTTTGTATCTGTGCTTTTTGAGTTAATCATTTCCATGTTGTGCTTCTTTATGCACGCTAGATAATGATCCCAGACTTTACAATGACATTCTTTATGGCAGGCATACTGACCTGGATTGCATATGTGTTATAAACACACATTACTGCATTTAAACCTGGGTTAACTTTTGCATGGACTTGCAGAAGTGTCATATAGGCTATTCTTCATGTTGAATATCCAGGTTCAGATGCTGCATGTGAAACACTGCTCGAGAGAGACCTTTACTCTTTGTAGAGTAAGCAGTGAAGTAATCATTAAACACATGAACGACATGAGTCAATAATTTTACTTTTCATATGAGATCAAAGTTGTTAGCCATTATATAAATATACACCCAGACTCCCCCCAGTGTATCCCCGACCACTATACTCGGGAGCAGTTTTAGCCCACAGGCCTAAGACTTTCAAATTCCTGAGCTAAGTGAAGTTCCATTACAGATGTAAATATCACACACATATGTCACACATTTCCACATATCTAAATATATTAATATAACGTATAATATTTGAATCCCCCTTTTAAATTATTTAGTTTTACATAAAGTTTTGTCTAATTCACTTCGTTCCTGCATTTTACTTGCACAATTGATGGCACTATATTATTTCTTATATAAGTTTATTTTATGTGTCAAGTTTGCTGTGTGTCTCTTTACATTTCCATTTCCAACCATTGTGCCTAAACTTTTTTTGCATTGTACAAGAAAACCTTTGAATCTCCATACTTGTGATGCCTGTGTAAAAGTTGTGGCCTCACTTGCGGCAAAAGGGATTTTTATGATGAAGGCATACAGTACTTTACATACAGTACTTTACATACAGTACTTTACAAAAACTTAATGCAAAAATAACAATTGTATGTCTCCTTCAGATATGTCTTGGTCCCATGTTGGTAACTGCTGAAACCTCACACAGAACTATGTGCTAACCTCTCTGTGCTTCCCCTCCTGCAGGTGGAGGCAGCGGTGGCGGCGGCTAAAGAAGCGTTCCCCGGGTGGTCCGCTCGCAGCCCGGAGCAGCGGGCTCAGGTCCTCAACAAACTGGCCGACCTGTTGGACGCCAACGTGGAGGAGTTCGCCCAAGCTGAATCCAGGGACCAAGGTGTGCTATGCTGTTGTAAAACCGGTGGTATCAACCCAAAAGTCAGTCAGATTATCAGCCAGTAGCACTGAGTCAGTCAGAGAACATTACTGCATGCTCCAGTTATTGGATTTCATATTATAAGAACCCAGATTTCAAAACCCTCATATGCAGGTCCTGTTGAGGTGTAGTATGACTGATTACATGCCTAGGGTTGTAACTTATTACAATTTTAATATAATATTAATTATTAATTAAATTATAGATTAATCTCCAAAACAATTGATTCAACACAAAGTGCCTAAGGTCAAAGGTCATCTTAATTATGACCAACTGTAAAAAACGTAGACAATCAGGTTACAACATTTAGTAAGTTGAGTAAAAGCCATAAGAAGCAGCACATTCTAATAATTGTATGGAAACGTGTGAGTAAAGTCTAAAACTGATTTATTTTTTTGGTCAAGATCTTTGTTCTAAGTAACTTCTTTCTCATAATTAAAAACAGTAAAAATGACTCACTTGCCTCTCAGAACTTCTTAACCTAGAACAAATAAATGTTTGACTTTAGTTCTTGAAAATGTACTTCAAATTCAGTTGATTTCTAATCAAATAATGTATTGATTGAGGCAGCTGTAAACATATTATACATGCAAATATTTGATCATAATAAGCAATATTTATTGTTAGTGAACACAAAGAGCTTGCGAGTACTTTACGCATGTTTAGTTCACCTGTGTATTAGATTCATAATATTGTGAACTAAACTGACATTTGGCCTGTGGGGGGCACTAGAGGACCGCTCAAACATTGTACAAAATTAAGTGATCATGACCTGGGGTTGATATTGAACTATTTTGAGTGTAAGCAGGTGCTGTTTTATTATCCCCTGTCCACTATTATCCTCTGTGTTTTTGTTGTGACTTTACAGGTAAAACAGTAACATTTGCACGGACTGTTGACATTCCCCGATCTGCGTACAACTTCCACTTCTTTGCCTCATCCCTGTTGCACCACACCAACGACTGCAGCCAGACGGACCACATGGGCTGCCTGCACTACACCATCCGCTGCCCTGTGGGAGTGGGTGAGAGCTCAGTATCTCTGCATTAAAACCTGTTATTTTTTTCGTGCTTCATATGTTTTAAATCTGTGTTTTGGTTTTGTGCAGCCGGTCTGATCAGCCCCTGGAACCTCCCCCTGTACCTGCTGACCTGGAAGATTGCTCCTGCCATCGCTGCAGGCAACACAGTGGTGGCCAAACCCAGCGAGATGACCTCTGTGACTGCCTGGATGATGTGCAAGTTGATGCAGCAGGCTGGTAGGACACCAACACCCACATTGCAATTGGAATCCATTTACATGCACAGAAGATATACCAGAATCAGAATACGAATACCTTTATTAGTCCCACAGAGGGGACATTTACATTGTTATAGCAGAAAAGAGCCAAAGACAGCTTAAGAAGCATGCATAACAAAATATTAAAGATAACAAATAAAAAAATTAAAGAAAAAAAATTATACTTCATAAATCCTATAAAAAAAATCCCATGCTGCTGTAAAGACATTGCTTGATTTAAAAAAATATAATAAAGCATTATAAATCATATCAACAGTCGAAATATATATATCAATAGAGTATACAACAAACATAATACGTTAGAATACACTTTAATAGACCAACCTGCTTCTCAAACATTGGATACTACTGTATATACAAGTTATTACTTATTATTCACTATGACCTATAACAAAAATGAGTTTGAAGAATTGCTGAAAGCTTTCTATCTCCACAGGTGTTCCTCCAGGAGTTGTCAACATTGTTTTCGGCACTGGGCCAAAAGCAGGCGACGCCCTGGTCAGCCATCCTGACGTCCCATTGGTCTCCTTCACTGGCTCCACGGCCACTGCCCAGTGCATCACAGAGCGGAGCGCCCCCTACTGTAAGAAGCTCTCTCTGGAGCTGGGAGGGAAAAACCCTGCCATTATTTTTGCTGACGCAGACCTGGACCGGTGCATCGAGACCACTGTTCGCTCCAGCTTCTCCAATCAGGTGAGAGAAGAGTGTCAGGAAGGGTTATCGGACTCTATTCAAGTTTTGAATTGTATTGCTGTCATTATTTTCTTTTGTATTACACATGCTTTTTTAAGGATTATTATCAAGGCTGGCACCAGTGTGTAAGCTAAACTTCAGGGGCTCCAAGAATGCCAGTTTTTTGCTAAATAATTTGTAAATGTTTTTGGGAATATGCTCTAAATACATAGTAAATGGGTCCTACTTGGTTTGATATGATGAGGATCTGTCTTTATGGGAATCTATGCATCAAAAGCATTTTTTTGTAAACTAAATTACAGCTTTGTTTAGCTCATAATTTATTTTTATAGTTTTATTCTTATTATGTGTCCATGAGATAAATGCTTCAGTGACCAGACTTGTCCACATGGGGGAGATCACAGTCCATATGTTGTCATGAGGCAGCTGAATAACACCAACGTCCTGAACAATCTCAAGTTACCTTTCCCTTCCTTCCTTCCTTCCTTTCCTTAGGGGGAGATCTGCTTGTGCACCAGCAGGATTTATGTAGAAGGGAGTATTTACTCTGAGTTCCTGGAAAGGTTTGTGGCTGCGGCTAAGAAGTGGAAGACAGGTGCGCCCTCTGACCCAGGCAACGACAACGGAGCGCTCATCAGCAAAGAGCACCTGGAGAAGGTGATAATTACACATTGAAATGGTGTTGGATAAGGCTGCAACCCACAATAATTACATATATTATCAATTACCTGCCAATTATTTTATTTTTGACTATAAAATGTCATAGAAAAGTCCATGGTGTCTCTAAATTACTTGTTTTGTTAATCGGAAACCCCCAAAAATCTCTATTTTATATAATATTAAACGTAGTAAAGCAAGAAATCTCCATGTTTGAGAGGCTAAAGCAGCCATTTTGCTTTAACATTTCCTTTGACGATGAATCATTTATCAAAATAATATCCAATTATGTTTCTGTTGTTTAACTAATCAATAAATCAACTCATACTTGCAGCTTTCGTGCAACAGAACAAATTCTCATTCTCTACATACCGTATCCACTTTACATTTGAATCCGTTTGTCCCGGTCCCTAGGTCCGTAGCTTCGTAGCACTCGCCAAATCTGAAGGAGGCACGGTCCACTGTGGGGAGGGGGTGGATCAGCTCCACCTCCCTGAGCGCAACGCTAAAGGCTACTTTATGCCGGCCACCGTCATCTCAGGCATTTCTGACAGCTCCCGCGTCATGCAGGAGGAGATCTTCGGCCCCGTCACCTGCGTCTCCCCCTTTGACTCAGAGGAGGAGGCCGTTTCCAAGGGCAACGGCGTGCGCTATGGTCTGGCGGCCACCGTGTGGTCCCAGGACGTGGGGAAAGTTCACCGGATGGCCAGGAAGATACAGGCAGGCCTGGTGTGGACCAACTGCTGGCTGGTGAGGGATCTGAACCTGCCCTTCGGAGGGATGAAGAACTCTGGTGTGGGGAGGGAGGGGGGGAAGGACTCCTACCACTTCTTCACCGAGGTGAAGACCGTCACCGTCAAACACTGAGGGGGGAAAAAGAGATGGCTACCTTCATTGGAGAAAAAGTGTTGTAGTTAATCGTGACATTCATCAACCTTTGCTGGCATCTTTTGTGAATTCCAATGAAAGCGTTCTGCTCGGATTACTGGAGCCTGTAATTAAGTCTCATCATAGAATACAAAAGTCAGAGGAGGTCACAGAGGAATAAACATGCATCCAAAAACAATGTCAAGTAAAGAGGAAATGTATTACACTGCAAAACGCTGTAATACCTTTTTTATTAGTTAATCCCTTAATATTCTAAACTGCCTTATTCTACTGTGGAGCATTTTGGATGCATAGGGTGTGTTAGGGCTTCATATTTAAAAAAAAGGAGCTGAGCAAGTCGCAAATCCCTGTCTCCTGCATGCCAGTAAGTCATTCTGCAAAGAATGCATGCAGCACAAGCACAGATAGAATGAATAGAAAAGCTTCTGGTTAAGCATGGTAAACAAGTGAGAGTTGGTATGTGCCTCAGGAGAACCCAAAAAGCAAATCATTGTCAAATGTAATGTCCTGGTATTTCTTCAGATTTTTTGTAACACCGCATCAAATTAAAACACTTTCAACATGCAGTTCAGTGTGTTTTTATCCTAACTTTCTACCATTATGGAATTGCTGTACTTAAATCTTCTTAGTATCTGCATAAAACGTCTTTAAAAAAAAATATATATATATATATATGTAAACAGATCTGCAGACAGGTCAACATTCACTGGGAAAGGTTTTGCTTTTTTTAATCAGCATACTTTGTACTTTTCATATGTCGTGGCGTTATCCTTGGCTGTGCACTTTGTCAAAGTCTGCTTGGTTATAGACAAGTTATACGTCACATAAACCCTTATGCACTCAGAAGTTAGTGATTTACATCAAGTTGTTTTTATGTCCGACCTGCTGACGTAAGAAAGGAGAATAAATGCCAAACTGTCCTGTGCTGTGGTTGGACAACATGTTCGGAGAGTGGAATAGGAAGGTCAGCAAGCTAAGTGACTGTCAGACTGCATGCTAACATTAGCTAATGTTCCACTAATGACAAAGTACAGCTAAAACTGATGGGAATGTGATAATAGTTTTGCAGGTATTCAGTCTTAATCAAAGTATTGGTCAAATTGAAATACGCTATTACATTCAATCATAGGGATTGCATATCCGTACCAAATGTTATGCTAAACTATTCAATTGTAGATTTTAAAGACTGGACCATCTCCATATACAGTCTATGGACCAAAGTGGCAAACTGAAATCATACAAAATCTGACAATAGAAGTAACAGTTTAAAAGTTTATTTAGATTGAAATATCTTATAAAAAGCTTAAAATGATGGTCATGAACGACATGCTGGGAATGGCAGGAGTGGAGGGTTATTCAGCTGGTTGCAATCTTCATCCTCACCACTAGATGCCCCTAAATCCCACACAGTAATGATCAACATCTGCCACCCACAGCCACCTTTACACCTTGTTTCATCTCCTTGTGCTCATGTTTTTCTTGCATTTCCCAGCACATTACCCCTCCGCTCTTTGCCCCTGTTTAAACATCTCATCACCTTGCTAAATATCTGATAACGGATTAATGCAGTGTGAGATGAGACTGAGGTGTGCAGGCGGCACATCATGCATGCATATGAGCACTCTGCTTCTTCTGAGGCACCGTGCCAGTTTAGGAAAAGAGGGTACACCAGAGACCCGCCCTATCCGTAATGCGAGTGTGTAAAATCACGTCCCCCTGGTGAGGTGTATGTGACATTTACCACAGAAGCAGTGTGTGTGTCCCACCCTGTGTTTTGGCTAGAGAATATGTATTGTGCTAAGTCACGCTGCATGATTGCACACACACACACACACACACTGCTGTGCTGCCTTCCTTAAATATAGAGTTTGATGAAATGGATACCGTCCAAAAAACAGGTTAGGAGGTCTAAAGTATCGTGTTTTGTGGCACCAAGCCACACACACAAAGTAACTCAGCAGCTTTTCCATTTCCGCTCTTTTTCTTGATTTATCTTTCATCTTTGCCTCTTGTGGATGTTTCATTCAGAAGGAAAAAGCTAATTGAAGCAGGTCTCGCCCTGCTGTACGTGACTTTGAGGACTCCGCCATTGGCTTAAGCCAAACCAAGTACTTTCACCTCACTTATTGGGCACAGGAAGAAATGAAAATAGAGCATATCTTTAATTGTATAACTCTGAGGAAACTGCAATATCAATCCCAGCAGAATGAAAGGATCTGTTTTCATTCTGGCTGCAGGGATGTAATGGGCCTCCTGTAGAGGGCCTTCTCATTGATATATATGTGGAGACAACAGACACAGCCAACAGCCGTTTTCTCTCTTCTTTTGGACAAAACCCAGCGCAAAAGGTCTGTGAAATGCTATCTTTTTTTACGTGTTTTAATTAAAGAAGTACACACAGGAACATTTTATTTTCTATTGGGAATAGGGGAGGTGAATGTGTGTGTATTGAGAGAGATACAGATAAGGACTGATAACAAGAGAAAGAGCAACAGACTGAGAAATCCTATCCGGACTTGACCTAAAACCATTATGATTCCTTGTGTCCCAGATTCAGGTAATAGACAGCTTTGTTTACATGTATTACTTAAACTTAAACACATTCTCCTCCAGTATGCCAATGCATCTGAAATCACAGTTCAAATAGCAGGCTTTTGCCTTGGTCATTGAAAATAAAGGTATTTTCCTGCATGGTCTTATGAGAAACAAAGCATATGATATGGAACAGTAGAAACAAAACCAACAATCAGTGGTTTCCAGCCTTGCAGTCTATTTCCTTATTCCTGGCTGTGGCATTTTCCGATTTTCTTCCTCTCCTGCTCTCTCTTTGAATGTCACAGAAAGTAGGCTTTCCCTATTTCACAACCACTTATTTCACCATGCTCCTGTCTCTCAAGGCCGTCAGCCACATTTAAGTTCAGGGAATTTCCCCCAGCGTGCGGCATGGGTTTTGTGATAAGCCCCGAGATGAAGCTCAGTCCTGAGAAAATGCTGCAGTTCAAGCAGGTTAAGCAAACTCAGCTTGGAAGAGGGAGCAAAAGTAACTTGGCAACAGAAAGCTAAATGTTTCAGCCCAATGACCCATTTAAACGAAGAATCAGTCTGAAATGACAGCTAAGGCTGAAGTGACATGCATTATCTACATTTCAAAGAAGACAAGGACATGAGTGATGGAATGAGTAATGGGTCAGATACTTACCATCCTTCCCTGCTTTTCACAAATGCACTAATATTTGTTTTGGTTGAGAGCCTGCATTCTATAAGTTACTCTGTGTTGCACTCACATGGTATCTCAAGACTTGTCAGGCTAATGTTGACAATTTGGCTAACAGGCTAATATGATTCTGAAGAACATCACTGCACTGTCGCTGCCAAAATGTATTGGCATAGTCTTCCTGACAATTTGAGTGAGTGATTTGTTTATTATGATTATATATTAATTACAGCGTTATGCTTTTCTCTATCTGTGAGGACTGCATTTTTGATGGCCAGTAATTTAATAAAGAGTCCCATTTTATCTGTTGGCAGAAATCCACAATACAGCTTATTTTCCCCATATTGTGTAAATGTAGCACAGGACACTTATTGGATTATTTCCACTACTGTGCTTTTCGTTATTTTCCCCAAGGAGCAGGGTGTTTTTTTTAAAAGCATTTATTAACTACACTCGTTTGAAAGTGCATGAATGCCAACGGGTTATATAGGAAGCCTTTGGCTCTTTTGAACTTTCATCAACAATTTAAGTGAGACAGTTCTCTTCCTGTTGTGATAGATGCTCTTGAGTGCTGCATGTTCTGAGCCAAATCACACCAATGTGGAAAAAGAGCAAAGGGATGATACTTTGATTTGGTTTAAGTGGAGCAAAGTGTCAGAAAGCCCCAGGTCACGTATGACAGCATGTCCAAAATAATTTGTCTTTGTATTGAGTTTTACATATTGCCAATCCTTCCTCACACTAGATAGCAAAGTGACATTGAAATAAGATAATGTTTGATTTCAGGGAAGATGAGTAAAACAGGTTGGTAACCACAGGATACTTTGGTGCAAGAATGATGACATAATAGGGTTTAAAACATATGAAGCATAACTAATACAATGTAGACTGTTGAGAAGATAATAATGTTACACCTCTTGTCTAAATATGGCTATAAAGTGCAAGCACACTTTCAGTCATTACAATTCAGCTCCCCAGACAGCAATGATTCATGCTTGAATAAATAGTTCCTCTAACTTGAAGTGGTTCCCGCTCATTATCTTTAGAGTATTTTACCTTCGGGAATACTAATCACCCATTTAGGAAGAGCTCATTCTCTCAATAACATAACACAGGTACGGTTAGCTCCGAGGAGATTACACTGAGCTGTGATGTAGCTGCTGTTGAAAAAAATATCTCCGAGCTCGGTGACGTTTGTGCTCTTGCTATCATATCGTTGTCCTTTAGGTGCCTGCAAATGAATGAACCACTGAAGAGGGATGACCTTCTTATTGTCCTTCGCACTCAGCACAGGATGTGCTTTTGCTGCACTGTTTGCTCATTTACATTGCAGTCACCATACTGAGGCTGTTTCCGTAAGAGAAGTTTACAGTACATAGCATTGTGTAACTTACGCAGACACACGAGGACACAAAACCTTAGTCAACCACAGCAGGGCAAAGAACATAGAAATCAGCTCAGCATGGAAATATGAGATGTTAACAAAGGTGTGTTGACTAATACAATGCTCAGTCTGAAATAGAGTCCAGAAAAGAAATCATTATACAATATTGTGACTTTTCTGATTAACCTTCACTGAATTATAGGTGACCCCTGCATGGTGTTGTTTTTCTTCCATGCCACTTAATATTTGCCATTATTAATGCTTTAGAAAAACAAAGACGAATATAAATAAATATCGAGGAAAGATGGCAACAGCAGAAACAGCTAATTAATATGTGACTTGAATGTTCGCCACGTCAGAAAACATTTCAGAAAATGCATTTCAATATTCCATTTAATGCATCAACATTTTTTGACCAAGGCAAAAGCCTCCTAGAGTGAGTGTGGAAACCTTTTTTACACAATTAACTAAACATTTTCAAATGTCACAGTTTCTATACAGCCTCTCCAATGCGATACATGTTTATGGAAATATAGCTATAGATGCAAAACGAAAGAATGTGAATCGTTGGAAGACACCCTTTAAGCAAGAAGACTCTATTTAATTGTCCGTGAGCAAGACATTGACTGCCAATCAACTGTTCGGTCCTTCTGATATCATTATGCACCAATTGTGTTTTTAGAGAACTGTTTTGTAGCATCTTGCTTTTATTTCTAAAAGATGTCCCAAGGCTGGACTTTTCAGACATTGTTGTAATGGCATGTGCGGAAACATCCTGGAAGGCACTCCAGCACCACTTTCTTGTGATATTCTGAAGAACCAATATTCTTTGTCAGATTTGTTGAGGTTTTCATTCCAACATCAACCTGTTGACCAATGTTTGTTTATGTAACCTGCTCTCCATCTAAAGCACAGTGGCACAAGGTAGGCTGCAGAGTGAGAGGCGACACCAGAGCTGTAGACCAAGC